CCCCCCCCCCTTTTTTTTACATATCCCCTTACAATTATCATAAACGTTACGAATATTCATTTAAAAAAACAAACATTTTGGGAAAAAAAATCTTATATTAAAAAAATTGATGACTAGTGATAGAATTTATGTTTAAAATTTTCAAAGGTTTTTTTTTTTCCATCAAAAATTTTTTTTCAAAGGTTTGGGGTGTATTGAATTTTTTTCAAAAGTTTAGGGGATTATGGTGCCACCCTTGTTATTTATTGTATTTAATTAATATAAATACAATTTTACTAACAAGAACTTGATTCAGTTTTTTTTTTTTTTGGACAGTGTGAAATCTTTTTTCTTGGGGGAAGGGGGAATGGGGGGGACTTGGGATTGATCCCAAGTCCTAGTAGTCCTACGCACGTCCCTTGCAAGGGGGTGGCCATTTGGCCACCGAGTGCGGGACAACAAGAACTTGATTCAGTTAGTACCTACTTACTTAAAATTTTAATGTGAGATTAAGATTAGAAATTTAAGAGCCTGTTTGGATTAGGTTAGAAGAGCTTTTATTTTTTTTATACTGTTTATGAGTGGTAAATTTAAATTTTGATTAGAAGGAAAATTTAAAAGTTGGCTTTTGAGATAGGAAAAAGAGAGTTTACGAAGAGTTTAAATTTGAAAATTTTAAACTTTTACTGTTTGAGATCTTTTTAAAATTAAAAAAAAAGTTTTAAAATATAAAGTTTTAAGAGAGAAATTTAAACTTATGAAACATAAATACTGTCAAAAAGTTGAAATACTTGAAAGCTGAACTAAACATGCTTTAAATATATGTGACACCAAACAATTAACACTATGATGTGCACAAATATATATATATAAATAATTATTTAATATTAACACCCACCACAACAATATTAATACCCACCACAACAAGGCTACTATTAATTAGCAAAATAAATATATAATGAAAAAAAGAAAGAATAGGGTTGGCAGAAAGCACCGGCGGCATCATCATTAAGAATTTTATAGTTTAATTAGATCCAGATACTATACATACAAAGTTATTGTGTGGATCATAGTGAGTACTTGACCTTTCTTGAGGATTGTTTATCCACAAATTAATGAATGTGTGATAGAGTTTTGGTCTCAAAAATTGCGGCCTATACAAATTAATCAATAAAAATTTGAAAGCATTTCCTTGAAAAAGTTGTCAATCTCATGAAGAGTTTAAACTTTAAATGACAAATTTATGTTGAGAAAGTATAAATCATTTGAATGTCTTTCTTTAGAGTATCTATACTTTAAATTATAGTCTCAACAAATTAAAAAAAAAAAAAAAAAAACAAGAAAAAAAAAAGTTGGTAAATAGACTTTCTAATCTTTCTATGTTTTCATTTATTTACACTTGTTGTCATTATTAATATAACTCATGAGGAGATTTGCCCTTTAACTGAATGAAAAATTTTTAATAATACAGAACTTCATCTCTGTTTTTCTTGTTTCAAGGGCCTAGGACTTCCTCAATTCACAAAAATCATTTCATACAAAGTAATTAAAAGGGAAAAAAAAAGGGAAACTATAACATTGAATTTGTTTCAGCCAAAATAATTAAAAAGGAAGAACAATGAATTTGAAGATGGGTACCTTAATCTTCATCTTTGAAGTTGAAGAAATGGAGTTTTACCAAACAGAATTTTGGTTACGTCAGCACTTAATTGATGGAAAGGACAAAGTTGGTATCGAAAATTCAAGTTCAAGGACCATTTTGCTACTTTTAAATTTTGAAGGATGTTATTGTATAAATCTAAAAGTTTAGGGAACAAATTGATATTTTAACAAAAAAAGGAAAATGCCATTCCCATTTTAGATTAATCTACAGCTTACACCGCTCCTGCGCAATATTTTTCTCTTTTTAAGTGGCAATTTCGCCACGCTCAACTCTCAAAATACCGTTCCCTTAAACCCTAATTAGCTTTATATATTTCTCACCCAATCCAATTTAACTCCCACGATTCCTTCAACTTCTTCGTGTATTCCTTCACTCAAATTCGTCTCTGTTCTCTGGGATTCATTCATCATTCTCTTTCCATCTGGAGAGAATGGTTTTTTTTCAGCAATTGCGCGAAATATGTTTGCGGAATCCGCCCGGGCGGTCCATTGTGAGTGGCCTTCACGAGCAAGACAATAATTCCCTTTTCTAACCATGTTTGGGAATTAAGGAATTTTTTTTGGACTTTTGATTTTGCTGATTTTTTCTGTTTTTGGCTGAAGGTGTTGTAATTAATGCGGGAAGGTATTGGAAGATTACTATTTTTCGTGTGAGGTCCAATTCATTGAAGATCCAGTTCGCTATGTAAGCTACTTTCTATACTTAATTTGTCGATTATCGCTCTGAATTTTATCTTAGTGTACTTAGTACTGTGCTTAGTTTTTGTGAGTTTCTAACCTGCTGTTGGAGAGCATTAGTTTTGTTTAAAAGAATCAAGCGCCAATATGTCTTTTGGGATCTGTAATGCATAGAAATTTGCAAACTGGTTGTGTTTGGCTGATAGCTTTTATTGGAAAGTTGATAGTTATTATTGTTTATGATCCAAACATTCTTATTTATCCCAGTTTAAAGCCAGAACCTGATAATCCGCTAAAATTATATCTATCTAGGTGTAGGATGGTGGAGGAGCATGGTATGGGGGGACTTGGATTGTTTACTGTTGTAATCAGATGTGTTTGATGTTGTGAATGAATGGGAGGGTTGTCAAGATGTTGAGAATGTGTAAATTGAAAATTGTTTCTGTTGCTGACACAGTGAGTCAGTGACACCGTATGAATGGATAGGAATAGTTAGAAATGCCGGTTTTGAAATAGTTATGTGGTTGGCTGAAAGAAATAAAAGTTAAGTGGGATTTGGATGAGATGAAGTTCATGCCATTCTTTTGCCTGAAAAGGAATGCATACATCAGAGAAGTTAATTCTCTCTGAAATAATGATTGAATAATTTCTTTCTGGTCAATTCTATTCTCAAGTTTTCATTGTTCAGTTATGTTCTGACCAGGATTAGGATTTTGATTTTTGAGAAAATGTATTTGGTTGCACTTTCCTTTAGTTATACATTTTTGGCACAAATTGGTGGTTTTTGGATTTGAATTGGTCTGGTGGACTTGGACCTTCTAGTCTAGGACTCATATTGGGTCTTTTTAAGCCCTTGCAACTCTAATGAAGTGTTTGGCGGGAATTCTTTGCTTATGGTTCTTTGCTGTTTTCATTTTCTCATATGAATAATAAAATGTTTACTTTCATCACCTAAATTGCTGCTATCTTACTTGTTAACTCAAGATTTTAAACAATGGAACTGATGGAATCTTTGACTAGGGCCATTTTATTTGAAGTGTATTTGTTTATTTAATTGCCATCTTATAGATTGATTAACTTCAATTATTTTTTAAACATTTAATTCTTTTGATGTTGTTTAAAATTTAAGAACATATGATGCATTGATTTTAGTGGCTGGTATATGGCAGTAATCCAAGTAAGGATATCCTTGGCACTTTTCTGTTATGTCAAAACATAATTCAATCCCCTAACAATCCCTTAACCATTTTTCTCATATTTTCTTACCACCTTGCAGAAAAGAAACAACCATGCAACTAGGAGTTGAATTGCACACCACTCTGCTTTTTTAGCCACAATAGTAAATATGGTAAAAATTTTCTTGTGATTTATGAAGTGGTAATATTTGTTATTCTCAAATATTGAAGAGTGCAATATGGTTGTTTGTCTTTTTTTATTTTTTTATTTTTGGTTTCCCTCATTTTTTATGCCCTTTTTTAAAAAAAACAAGCTATATCAGCTGGCATCCACTAGGCAGGTCTATGTATGTAAAATTCAGTTTGACAATAACTAAAGCATGGTGTTACGAGTGGATGCTTCTATTGCATGTACACAGATAGATCTATATGTTGGCGTTAGCATCCACTAGGCAGGTCTATGTTTGCCAACAGATAGGTCTATCTGCATGCAAAGACCTATATGTTGGCCAAACTATATTTTTGCATTTTTGCATTCATATATATACGTAGTTAGAACTATATGTTGGCATCAACATGCATGTGTCCTAGTTTGCAGTCTGTACTTATAGCTTTATCTGTAGATGGGTTGCAGTGCATGCATGGTCATGTCTATGTGCTGTTTTATATACATAATGTGGATTCCATTACCGATAATTGCTTTATCTGACAAACTGACAGATATCTATATGGCTTCTATACAGGGATACATCTCAAAAGTCAGCCAAGATGCCGTGTTGAAATTATTTGAGAAAACTGTAAGTTTATCCATACTCTGCCTGGCTTTTAATCTCAAATGTTATGCCAGCTGTAAAGTTTTTATTATCTTTTTCCTTCAATTCTTTTTGGCATAATTCATTCAATAGTTTGTCAGTCTGTCTTGGGATATAAATGGAAGCTGGAACCCCCCTGAAAAGGAAAACCAAATGATAATAACCATGATTTTTCCTTACTAATTATTAGTAGATGCTATCATATGCTTTACTGGCAAAATTGAAAAACATCCTTGAGAAGAGGGATTAACTCAGGCGTGATATTGATAATTTTCATTAAGATTAGGAGAGAGGGAATAGCCATTGATTTAGTATTAAATCTCAATATTAAGGGTTCCCTAATCCTAGCCTTTTAAGGAGGTTTCTCAATTTTTCCTTGTTTGTATGGTTTCACTTCACCAAGTTATAGTGACTTCTTCCAACTAAGGCTTCATTTGGAAGTGTTGTGCTGTCATTCTAGGTTTTTTTTTTCTCTTTTCCTACCCTAAAAATATAGAACTATTAATTAAAATTACTAAAATTATATAGAACATTGATTAAAATTAATTATCCATGATAAATTTACATTTTTAGATAAGGGGCTGTGAAACAGGACCTTTTGAGAGGATTGTTCATATCTGATTCAAACTGATTGATTTGACCGAAACTGATTGATTTGACCGAAACTGATTGATTCCAATTAAAATCCAATCCAAACTGACATCAATTTGAGTTGGTTTGGATTTTAAAATTTTAAAATCAATATAAATGGTTTAATTTGTGGTTTTACTTTCAAATTGATTGAACCACCCGATTATAAAATAACTTAATTAAATAATATGGTAATATTTTTACTTTTGTATTTTTTTTGGTAAATATATTTTTAGAATTTTTATTTTTGTGTACAAATTGTATTTTAAATTTTCATTTCTTTTTTAACTTTTTCTTATTTCTTTAGTACAATATTTTTTTTATAATTATAATATAATTTAATTGTATTGGCTATCATTTTTTTTAATCATAATTGTTCAACATGATGTAAATAAAAAATAATGTAGCCCTAAATCATCCCCTATACAAACAAAAACTCTACCCTTAGAACTTTCTACTTTTCTGAGCCGTCCTTCATGTCTTTTTCATGTGGTACATTAGATGATAGGCCATAGAACAGGAATAGCCCTTCTCTTCCTTTATCCCTCTCTACCCACCTCAAGGTTCAATTTCAAGATTTCTAACTTGAAATCTTAAGTTCTTTACTAATTGGGACACCCGTAAGGGGTGGTCTTACATGTCTTCATTGCCTTATTAGTTTTTACTTCTTTTGTTTTTTTTTTTTTCTCATTTTGTTAATTCTTCAATTTTGTAGTTGTTATTATCATTTTATAGTCTATGATGTTATTGTGCTTTGTAATTGTGTTTTCTATCATATGATGTTATGATTTTAACCTAATCAAATATATTTAAAATAGTGTTAAAAACTGATCAATTTGACTGAATCACACTAATCTGATTTTAGTTGGATTGGTTTAGTTATATAATATAATAGTGGATTGGATTGGTTTGAAAATTTTATTGACTGATTAAACTGGTTTGATTTTAAAAATGTTAATCCAATCCACACCACACCACAAACACTCCCTACTCTGAGTTTTCAGTTTCTGGAAAAGACCATGTCCTTCCTGTCAATGCTTTTTAGTTTTCCTGAGTGGCATCACTAATCACCTGTATAAACTTTGTAAAGTCTTGTGTATTTAACTGGGTTTGTTGGTGGTTTCTTTTTCCTGGCAGGAAGCTGCAGAGGAACCCATTAAGCAGCCAATTGAAATGCATTCCGACATGGACTATCAGAACATTGGCAACGGATTGCGTGTTATTGAGGGTAGACACCAAACTGATAAACTGGGATCGAAAGATGGATACAATGATGAAAAGATGAAATGACATGTAGCAATGACCAGGACATTGCCAACTTAGGTGAAGCTTATGATTACTACGATGATGATTATGATTATGGTTATGTTGGATTCTGATTTTTGAACTAAAACCCGTGACTTGCCTAGTACAGTGGCTTTGGATCTGGTCACTGCACTCAAAGTTTACCCTCCAACCTTCGGGTGAGCGATGAAGAGGGGTTTTCCTTGTCATTAAAAATGAAACTACTGATCGATGCCTATTTGGTTCATACTATATTAGAAAGATTATTGTCTGCAGTTTTTCATCTAGACTAGGGTATGTTATTACTAACAAAATGCTTTACACCTATTATCCAAAAAAAAAAAAAAAAAAGCTTTACACCAGTTATTTATTTACGCAAAAAAGTGTTGTACAATTTGTAACAGTTTGGATTGTATAACTCAATTCAAACTATAAAACAAATAACGCCCATGTGAGGTATTTGAATCTGAGTTTTTATCCTATATATTGGTTAACAAAATACATGCTTAATTTATGCAAAAATTATTAACAATTTTTAATTCTAAACAGGAAAATTCTATAATTAGCAGGATATCGAAACTCACTCATTGGGAACTAGTTTTCTTAGCCTTGTTTCGCTAATTATTGAGTCTTGTAGAAGTGCTCTTTTTATAAAAGCATTGAATAATGAATTTATATTTAACTATTATATTAAAGAGTAATAATATGTAAATAATTTTTTTTATATAATTTTAAATTATTATTAAATAAATTAATACATATAATATCACTACTTAAGTAGAGTGAAACGTTGTATAAAAAAATGACAAAACTCTATGTTAAGCCTTTGAATTTATCCTAGACTTTCAATTAAACTCCTAAACTTTATTTAAGTATATAAATTCTTAAATTTGGAAATTTAAGTAATTTAAATTTTTTTATTATGGTGAACTTAATATTCATTTATGTCTTATTTGTATGGATAAGATCAACACTTGTCATGTAGGTAATGACATATTAGTACCTTATCTACGCAAACAAGGCCTAAATAAGTGTAAAAAAATAGAGTTAAATTGCCTAAATCACCTAGTTTAGGTGCTTATTTGCTTTAATAAAAGTTTAGAAGTTTAATCAAGAATTTAAAATAAATATGGGGTTTAATGTAAGGTTTTACCTAAAAAATTTATTTCTCAATCATTTTCTTATATTAAATATAAAAATATAAAATTATTATTAAAAAATTATGAAATGAGTAGAATTAACTTAAATATGTATGAGATTTCTAAGTTTTACATAATTTACTTGCTGATGATGATGAGGCTACAAGTAAAGCTGTTGAACAGTTAATAAATTATGTAGCTCAATGCTACAAGTTCAGTTTTTTCGTACAATGGTTTATATAATGGGAATAGTATTTTATAATTTTTTTAACTTTTTTTTGGAGAATTATTGGAAACTTATTTTTTAATTAATATTTTTAAAAATTAATTTGTTAGATTAATTATTAACCAGATGTTAATTTTTAAATATAGTTTTATGTTTGAGATTTATTAATAGGTAAAACACCATTATTTTCAACCATCAAATTTAAAAATTAACAGCTGGTAATTTATGTAAAATTTGCACATCCATGAATGAATCAACAAACCATGACTACTATTTGGCCTATAAACCCAACAACCTCTTTAAGCTAGAGGTTAGTCTAGTTCTCTTTAAGTCTATGTTTAAGTTGTGTTTAAATTGATGAGAATTGATAGAGATGGAGAAAAGGGAAATGAATTTCCCTCCTCTCCCTGTCTTTTTTTTTTAAATAAATAATTAAATTAAAAAAAAATAAAGTAGAGAAAATTTTTCTCCTCTCTTTTTTTCTAATTCTTTTAATAACCAAATAATTTTTTTTTCCTTTGCTCTCCCCTTCCCTTCATTCCCCAAACATAGTATAAGGTACCTTTCATTGTCAATCAATGCAACGCAGGATTCTTCTTCACAAAGAAAATGGTTAATTTGCGTAGGTATTGCTGGTTTGATCAATTTTATCTGCATGCCTTTGGTATGTTGGAGCATTAATGATTAGATCACTTTGATTTCACTTAAACTCTTGCTAAAATTTCGTACAACTAGATTAAACAGTTAATCACTTGCCCTATAGTGTAAACACTACTTCGAATTTGATATTTGACTTCTCGAGAATCACTTTCCCTCATCCCTATGGTATGGCAGGTATATTTAGGGGTGTTCATATCCGATCTAATCCGATTGATCCGACCTAAACTGATCCAATCCGATTAAAAACCAAACCAAATTGATATAAAATTGGGTTGATTTGGATTATAAAAATTTAAAACTGATATAATTTGTTTGGTTTGTGGTTTTACTTTCAAACTGCCCGAACCGTCCGATTATAAAAAAAAATCCATTTATAAGATAACTTAATTAAATAATATAATATTTTTCTAATATTTCAAA